AAAAAGTTAACCCAAACATTCATATTTTCTTCCTCAATTTTTTAGTCCAAAAAGACAAAAAATACACTTATTTAGGACATCTCAAACAACCCCTTAGAGTGAATTATAAATATACTTCTAAAATTTGTTTAAAATATGATTTATTTTCTTTGATTTTAAAAATTACATTCTACCCTTTGAAGTTTTTAATTTCATAATAAATGACTAATTTTATTAATAAAATCATGAAGTCAATTAACAATTTTTAATGATGTTAGAAATTTATTTTAATTAATAATTTAAGTAATTTTATCATTGTATAGGAGAGTGGTAAGGAATTTTTTTTTAATTAATTTTGTCAAATAAATTTTTTTGACAAGAGAGTATTTGTAATTTTTCAAATTACAAGAGACAATTCCTATTTTAAATAAATTCTAAAAGGTGTATTTGTAATTTATCCCTATATTTATATATCATAACATATTTATCATTTTATATGTAATTATTATGTTGGTTTAAAGTGGCTTATCTGTTACTAATATATTGATAGGATAATTCTATTATACACACCTACCAACCCTATGTATCTTTAGTTACACCATTTTTTTTTATAGTTATGATTAATTTTCGTTTTTAATTATGACATTATTTTAAGATATTTATTTATGATTTTTTGGTGTTTGATTATGACTTTTTTTTTTAATTTTTAATTATAACTCAAAAAAAAAATTTATATTATTTTTTCTTTAATTATAAAATATATATGATATACAATCTTTCCCAAATATTTAAGGGTTGGTTTGAGATATTTTAAATAAATGTATTTTTTGACTTTTTATAAAAAGACGTGTAAAAAAATAAAGACGAGATATTAATTGATATATCTCAAATAAATACACTTATGTAAAAAAATATACTTATATAATTTAACCCAAACAAAGCTTTAAATCACCCATCTCAATTGTACTATATACCTCACTACACTTTTTCAACCCCGCCCTTCGCTTCATTTACCCACACACCACAATTCCCTCGCAATTCCTACAGCCTCCCAATCCAGATCTCCCCACATCCACAACCGCGACCATCCCCACTTTTCCCTACCCTTTTTTTTTGTTTTTTTTTTTTCATTGCTAACGATGATTCAATAACTAAAAAAATGAAATTAAAGATGAGGTGATTTTAACATTTGTTTTCGGAAAAACATATTTTCCGCATTTTTTTAGTGTTTGATATAATAAAAAATAAAAGTCAATTGAAAATATTTTTTATAGTTAATAAAAATTAGTCTATTTAGATAGAAAAATATTTTTCAGACTAAAATTTTATTAATGTCACCATACCGCCACCATTTTCAATCCGAAATATGAATGGGTTGGATTTAAAATTTATACTTTTAACTCAGTCCGGCCTATTAGTAAATTTTTATTATTTATAATACAGTAACATGTATATTTTTTGTTTGGACCTAAACTTTATCTTTATTGCTTTTATTGAAACTTACATTTGTGGTGATGTGTGATTGAATTTATTTAAGAAATTCTTCAATTTATGCACACAATCTTTCAATTTATATTGATGTCAATATATTTATTTAAGAAATATAATGAGTGATTGAATTTAATTATGAAATGTTTTAAGTTTTTTTAACATATAGTCCGATGTGTGGGTTTGAGATTTACTATTATTTTTTGGACCAAGCTTGGGTAGGTCTAAAGGTCTGATGTTAGGATTGAGTCAAGTTTGGACAGACATAAAACCTCTTATTATGTAGTATCGACCCAACTTGGCTTGATGTTTGTCTACCCCTACTCACCTCCACGACTACACTACTATCACCACAACCACCGCTGCTACCACCATTATCGCCGCCGTCACCCCTTTATCATGCCACAACCTCCACCTTTGTTTTTCTTCAAAAAAAAATTCTAAATTTTTTTAATATTTTTTTTTATTAAAAAATATTTTATGCTTAAATAAACGGAACTTAAAGAGTAAATTAGATAAGATTACATTATTGAGGACTTTCTTCGAGTACATTTTGTCCACATTGAAATATAAAGGATTTCCTTGCTTGCATGTTAGTTGTCCACCTATTGTTAGGATTTCAAATCAGCTACCAATCAGTGTGTTTGGTTTGGGTTTTTTGAATTAAATTTTTTTAAAATTGAATTTTTTGAATTTCATGTTTTTTTGTTTTTAGTGAATATTTTTAAAATTTTAAACATTTTTTTTACTTTTTTAGATGCACCTTACTTAGATATATCTAAAAAGTAATTTAGTGAATTTTTAAAAGGTTTTTTTTTTAAATTTTTTTTTTACTTTTTAGATATATTTTATGTTAGATATGTCTAAAAATTAAAAAAATTGCTCAAAATATTAAAAAAAAATTCAGTAAAAATAAAAAAAATACGAAAAATAAGAAAATATAATTTTCTGAAAAGTATTTTTGAAAAATGGTAACCAAGCATAGTGATTCGATTTATAAGTTTTTTGGGCATGCTACTCTTGCAAATCGATTTTAAAATGTTTTCTACCCAAAGATCTGTATAATTTTGGTACGTATGAGAGGCAACCACTAGGTCAAATATGTGAGTATGGGATCACATGGCTTGTGTCTCTAAAGATCTGCATAATTTTGGTACAAGAGGCAACCACTAGGTCGAATATGTGAGTAATCACATGGCTTGTGTCTTGATGGTTCAAAAATAGCAGAAGAGGTGACTTATAAATTGGATTAAGATATTTGCCAAGGTAACATATACAGGTAGGTGAGTGAAACCATCAAAAAAGAAACCTATCATTATGTTAATGTCGATAGACTGGGACACTATAGACATTGGTTGCAGAGCGTGGTTGTATGGTACAATCTCATATCAGTTAATAATAGACTCGATCATATAAATACAAGTTTTTTTTACACCCTTTACTGTTAAACGATTTTAAAGATAAATTTATCCAAAAATTTATGTGATGCACACTCTGTAAGAGAGGTTTCAATCCAACACCATTTGATTGAGTCATACTAGGCATGGAAGCAAAAGGGGATGGTAGTATTGTTGGAAAAAAGAGTAATAAGTGATGGATAAGGCATATGAAAAAGGGGTAGGTAGCGGTAATGGTGGAGAACTAGTGGTAGTGATAACAGAAAGAGTGGAGGTGATGGAGCTTGGGTTGGGGTTGGTGGTAGTAATGATTGTCATGGTCACATATAATAAGGCAACTTTTATTATCACACACCTAATTCTCAGTGCATGCCTTTTCTAAATGCACCAAGGATCCTCTAGAGTTTTTTTTCCCTAAAGTTTCCTAAAGTGGTGTGTTGTATGGATGAGATTTAATGCTAAAAAGTTGATGTGACTTGTCATTAAATCTCAACCATACAACACACCACTCTAGGAAACTCTAGGAAAAAAAAAACTCTAGAGGATCCTTGCTCTTCTAAATGTATACAATTACAAATTCAAATATTTATTTCTTTGTCTAATATACATGTTTATATAAAAAATAACCTTATTGTCAATCTTAGAAACTCTAACCTTAACATTAACTATAGTTGGCCAGTCACCGCTACCACCATCGATCTCTTCCTCCGAATTCCCTAACTTTTCTTATACTCTTGTTTGCTACTGTCACTCTCTTCTTTCAACCACCACAACCCCTTCCTACCATCCATGGATACTCCAACTCCACTTTCCTCCTACTATATACTAGCTTTCTTTTACTATCTACGACCATCCCAAGCCTTCTCTCAGAGAGAGAGCGAGAGAGCCTATATCATGATGTTGGGTGGTTTGCGATAGCAGGGTCTCACATGGGAGGGGGTTTGCATTAGGAAGAGAGAGGTTCGAGATGTTGGATAGTTCGCAATGGTATGGTTCGCAGTAGTAGGACATTTGTAGTAGACGAGTTGACTTTTGGTATGGCTAATAATAGGGTTAGGTTGGTTTTAGGATAAAATCATCAACAAACTCACTTTTGCTGGATTGAAAAATGAGAAATTTTCAATTTGCCACTGACTCACCTATTTTCAAAATTGACAAATTAGTTGAATATTGCAGTGGATTCAAACCAGTAATTTAATTGGGTTGGACTAGCTAGAAATATAAAATGAGAAGCAACATTATTTCTTTATAGGAGTGTTAGAAATTCACAATTCATTTATAATGATATAGTAAAGAAGTTACATTTTATATTAAGGCCTCATTTAATAACAGATTATTTTAATAAATTTTTTTTTTTATTTTTTACGGAAAGATACATAAAAAAGTAGAGAGAGTGATGTGATAAGTTATAATGAATTTTTGATTAAAATTAAAGATTACCAAACGAGATCTAAATATGTAACAAAACCAATTACATTATTATGAGTGAATTTATGAAATTTTTTTTGAGGGGGTCAAACATTTATCTTGTAGCGGTGGAAATAATTGGAAAACAAGTGAAATGGAAAGTTTCTCTAAATTTTCCTTTTATTTATTGTAATGGTGAAATCTTGAGTATTTTTTCTTTTCTTTTCTTTTCTTTTCTTTTTTCCTTTCCCATAAAACGAAAACTAGCTTTTAAATTTTAAAACAAAATTCACGGGACAAAATAAACAATTTTAAAAACGTTTATAACAAGTTCAGAACCCTATCCACTCCACTTTTTACTTCCACCTCCTTCCTCTCCCCCCTCTCTCTAGATTAACACTTCCTCACATTTCTCCTCCCTCTCGCCTAACTCTTAACTAGTCTTCTTCTTGAGTCTAAACCAAGGCTCTCTCTCTCTCTCTCTCTCTCTCTCTCTCTATCTAACACTACAGTCAGAAACCTCCGCTGCTACAGGAATGGCGGACGAAATTGCCCTCAGTTTTTCAACAAAACTTCCAATTTGTTAACTTCTCTTATCTAGATTCTATCAACCGTCAAAGATCCTCTCTTGTCTCTCACCGCCTTTCTCCTTCCTCTGATCGCGCTCTCTTCCCCCTTTCTCTCTCTCTCTCTCTCTATACGTTTATGGAAGTGATTTAGGTAGGGTTCACATATACATATATACATATAGATAGAGATAGAGATACAAGTGAGTATTTGTGGATATGGATTTGGTTGAAGGAGTCGGCGAGAGCTCGTCGCCGCCTCGGAGTTTTGGTAGTTTCGGTGGGTATGATATAAGAAACGATGTGTATAATCGGTTGGTAGAGAGTGGAAACGAAGAGGCCGTGTGTAATCCTGAGTTTCGTGAACTATTAGATGCTCACTTCAATCGGTTACCTTCTAGGTATTCTCTTTCATCATCATTCTGATTTGTTTGTATTCAATACCTGTTCATCTAATGAGATTTCAAAATTTATCTCTATTCTAATTATTCTGTTTGGTGTGGTTTTTTTTTTTTTTTGTAATACAAATATATATATTTATGTTCTTATATTCTTGTGTGTGCATGTACGAACATACATATAAATCTGCTTGGTGTCACTTGTTTTATTTACTTATTTATTAAGAAAAAAATTAATTTGTTTCAATTTATATAAATTAGTTGGATTTGTAGGTTTATTAGTGTTCAGATTTAAGCAAGGGCATCATTTTTAGATGTTATATATAATGTAGGATTCAGAAATTTTCAATGAATTCGCATGGTATTATTAGAATTGGTGAAAAAATTATTGGCTTTTGGAATTTTTATGTATGCCTTCATGGATGTGGGTTTTGAGTAAGAAAGGGAATTTTGTTTGTTGATTTGTATGTTCTTTTTGTTTCAGCTATGGGTTGGATATTAATATGGATAGGGTGGAAGATATATTGTTGCATCAAAAGCTTCTTGTCTTGGCGAAGGATCCAGATAACAGACCAGTTTACCATGTCCGTTTTCTCGAGGTACAGCTTTCATCTGACCAAATAGTAGATTTTCTTTGCTAAATTGTTTTGAAAGTCAACTGTAATAATGCAATTTTTTTTTTCCCTTCTCTCTTACCATAAAAGACGGATGTTCAGTTTGACATAGCAATCTTGTTAGAATATATTGGAAAAGTGCGTACTACCTTGTTCTTTTACATATTCATTAGTTTATTTGCTTTTAACTTCATGATATCTTTATATATGCATAAATATACTTGAAATTTTCTCTCTTAATTTGTGGTGGATCAAATCATAGTATTGCTGGATAGAATAATTCATCTTTTATTTCATTCAAGGGTACCAAGAGCGGTAACCCTTGTACGCACTGTCAGGTAGAATGACTTAGTAGTTTGTTTGTTTGTTTGTTTGTTTTTTTTGCTTTTTTTGCTTTCCTTCCCTTTTTTTTTTTTTTTTTTTTTTTGCTCACTGAAATCAAAATTTCAATCCCAAAAAAAGGAAAAAAGAAAAAAGAAAGGCTTGTGGGTGGCAGTGGAGGCATCCTTTAAAGGTCCTCCAATAATATCAACCCTCCTGGGTGGGAAAAAAAAAAAAAAACACGCAGGGGGGAAACATGTCCAAATGGATGCAATGAAAACACTCTTGTTTTAGTTAAACAATCAGCCCCTTCAATTTTCAACCTTGCCTTCCGTCATTGCTCCACTTCTGCGATAAATCACAAATTCCGCATCAATTGGCCATATTGCCAAGAATATATTATGATTGAATAAAACGATGAATGATTGCCAAATTGTTCCTTCAACTGAAATTTGCTAACTGCCTTTGAAATGTTTCAAGATGCTAAAGTTTTATTGATGACCGGTTCCCAATGGCTTTGAGACATGAGTTATATGGCCATGCTGATCCCTAAAATACCCATAGCATTCCAAAGAAGAAAGCATCAAACTTGAACTTAATTCGTGCCTTATTAGAAGCATGCACGCCACTTGTTAAGATAAATGCAACAATGCAAGAGGTTTCATCAATTGCTCTATTAGCTGGGAACCCAGATTGATCTAAAATTTTTATGCTCCTTGTTTAAATAACCCAAATAAAGCCATAGAATCGCAAGACTGAAGACTGTACTTCGGACTATGCCTAAATGTTTAAAGTATCTGTATCGAACACTTGACACTAGTGTATATTTGTGTATGATGTATTTGGTTGATCATGCCCACTTCATATTGTATTGATTGAGTTTGATGTATGATAAGGCATGAAAGTTATGTATCCATATTACTTGATAAACACCATTTTACCTTAGAAATAAAAAAATAAAATATTTAGTAGTCTCAATGGCCTTAGACATAGGCGTTAGAGGAATCCGATGCTTAGACATGCTCATGTTCACCTCCCCAAGTTTTTGAAAAAAAGTTAACGGTAGAGGAGATATTTGAAGGAGCTGCCTAGCGTAAGAAGTGCTGATAACTAGGACATTGATACGATGCAACATGGACATGCTAACAACTTCACACAACAATCTACAAAAATTCAAGATATGTAGATTAGGGCCCCAAAAAAATAAATCTACACTTCCATACCTGTTCATGATAATAATAACAAACTTTTTTTTTTCTTCTTTATGATACAAACAATTTCTTTTTTATTATATCAAAATAGTAAGATATCATTTTTCACATTCTATATGTTATAAAAGAAAGCGGACAATAAGTCCTAAAATTTATTTTAAAAAGTTTTATTCATAAATAAATGAATTGGAAGTTTTAGGGCATGTTTGGTTTGTGTCTCAAAATATATTTTTGGAGAAAAAATTCCAAAAACATGTTTGGTTGAAATTTTTATAAAAAAAATTCCAATATCACTTTTCTCTCTATTACACATTAATCAATTACTTTTTCTCTCTCATTCTCAATCACTTTTTCTCTTACACCCATCTATTCAACTACAAAAAAATATCAAATCATCCCAAATTCCAAAACTATTTTCAAAATATACAACCAAACAAATCTTCAAATTTTCTAAACTCTCTAGAAAATTATTTTTGAAATAATATCTCAAAACACAAACCTAACAACGCCATAGATTTTTGGGTTCCTAAGAGCCTAAAGGGGAATAGATTTTTGGGTTCCCAAACTTTCTTGATGAACATTTTCGTATTATTTCCCTATGATTCTAGAAGTCCTAGTTCTTTCTTCCATTTACTTTGGTTTTGTGATTTATATCTTAGTTTCTTGCTCTCTTTTTCATATATCTTCTATCTATCCTCTGTTGTGTATTTCTGTGTAGAATTTCTTGACCAAAGCAGATGGTGATGATGAGCAACAAGAAGTAAGTGTTCCTTCTACCTCCAGACAATGTTGTAATGCTGACAGTGAAGGAGTTGTGCCATCTCATAACAGGTATTAAAGCAATTTTGATATTATAATTTTCTGTGTTTCCTCTTTATCTGTGTACATGTATGTAAATAGTAAATCTTTATAATACTACCAAAAGAAGAAAAAGTCTGTGTAGGTGGTATAACATTATAGCATGCGGCTTTCTAACAATGGTTTTAATTTGTGTTGTTTTGTTCTCCATCCATGCAACTTATTTCTTATTCATTTCACTTCAAGTAGAAGCAGGGATTATGAGAGTGAGTTTGAACCCTGCTCTAAGCTCGAGGACCTAAATTTGGATGTTAGAAAGAATTCCAATGACATAGAGAGAAGATTTCTCACAGAGAACTTTTCTAGAAGGTAGTTTCAGCAAACTTTTGTCATCCTCCTTTATATGAATCATGTTTCTTAAGAATTAAAAAATATCAATACTGCCATACATTTTATTGTTAGCTCAATGATTTTATTATGCAATATTCAGAATAAGAAAATATCAATGTTGATTGTCAAAGCAAGGGGCAGAAAAATTACAGAGGTCAGTCAACATAAAAAATGGTAAAAAAATAAAATTATGGAAATTATAACTGGAGATTGAAAACTTCAATGAAAAACAATTGATTGTGAATTTGCGAGTTTTTTTTTTTTTTTTTTGATTAGATCAGCAACAGAAAAGTTAAATTTTATTAAAGCTCATGGCGAAAAAGAAGAGAGGATAAGCATCCTCAACAAGAAAAAAGAAAGAATAAGACAACCAAAAAGAAAATCAAACCAAAAGACATCCATCTACAAACTATATGAAACAAACCGACACCCAATCTGAAGCAAACAAAAAAAGAGGAATCCCTCGGAACATAGGACTTGCCGAGGCCCAAAAAGACGCCAAGTATCTCACTCTATTCCATAAATAATCTATATCCCTAGTTCCTCCTTCGAAGATATGCCCATTCGTTTCCAACCAAGTGGCCCAGAAGATTGCAAAGACTACACAACACAACTCCAAAGAACTTTAGCCCTCTTCGACCTTCCAAAAACTTGAAAATCAAATAATAGCATTTGAGCAACTCCTTTAGGAGCCACCCACTGTCCATTGCCCAAACCAAACACCCTATTCTACAAAAGTCCTGCCACCGAACAGTGCAAAAAAATATGATCCAGAGGTTCTCCACTTTTGCAACACATTATGCACCATTGAGGATTAAGAAACCATGAAGTTCTCCTCTTTTGCAATGAATCATTTGTCAAAGTGCCCCCATGAACCAAGATCTACACGAACACTTTCACCTTAAGAGGAGCACATGCCTTCCAAATCTTTTTGTGAAACAAAAATTGAGGTACATGCGGAATATCAATGATTTTGTCCAGAAAGGATGTACACGTAATAGATCCCGATGAATGAATATTCCAAAATCACCGATCTTCCAAATTTTGAGACAAAGAAACATTTTCAAGTCTTGACAATAAAGATATCAACTCGGAAAAAAATTAAAATTCCACGAACAAGGAGCCAACGAAGAAATAGCCACGGACGCAACAGAACAATTATGAGACTGAGAAACTCTATACAGAAATGGATAGAACTCAGCAAAGGACAAAGAACCCACCCAAACATCCTCCCAACATCTAACTGTGTCCCTCTTACCCACCCTCACAGAAATGAATTGGGACCAAATTGGATAAATATGAGAAATAGACTTCCACCCCAAGAAACCACCTGAGAGTCCCTACCATTAACATGCAACCCATATTTACTTTTGATAACTGCATGCCATAATGAACCACGCTCAATTGAGAATCTCCATATCCACTTGCCCAATAAAGCCATGTTTCTAGCCACTATGTTACCAACTGCCAAGCCCCCCTTCTCCTTTGGTAATAACACCGTTTCGCATTTCCCCAAATGATCCTTCCTTCCTTCATCCTTCCATTCCCACAGAAAATCCCTCATTAGCTTTTATATGGATTTTGCTACTTTGACCGGAATCTTGAACAAAGACATGAAATAAATAGGAATCCCACTTAGCACTATCTTAACCAAGTGTACCTACCCCCATGGGACAATAAGGCCCTACCCCACCCTTCTAACCTCTTACCTATCCTTTCCACCATTGGATTCCAAAACATTTCGCCTTTTGGGTTACCTCCTAGTGGGAGACCTAAATACTTCATAGGAAATGTCTCAATCCCGCAACCAGGTAAGTCGGCTACACTCTAAATCAGTCTCGAATCAGTATTAATACCCGTTGCCCTACTCTTTTCTAAATTAACCTTAAGCCCTGAAAGTGCCCCAAAAAGCCTTACCACTGAAAAAAGGTTTGCCATTTGGCACTCATCCCCCGTAGAGAAGAAAATAGTGTCATCCGCAAATTGCAGATGCGACACACTAATCCTGTCTCTACCGATCTGTAAGCCTTCAAACATGCCTACTTCTTTAGCTCTGTTAACCATCCTACCTAACACATCCACTACCAAAATGAATAGAAAATGAGATAAAGGGCATCCCTGTCTCAACCCTCGCGAGGCCTTAAAACACTTCCTTGATTTACCATTAACTATCACCGACATATTACAAGACACCAAACATCCCCTAATTCAAGATCTCCATCTCACACTGTACCCTTTCTTGTTCATCACGAAATCCAAAAAACGCCAATCTACATGATCATACGCTTTCTCAAAATCTGCCTTAAACACAAGGCCTACCTTCCCCGACTTCCGACACTCCTAAACTATCTCATTTGCCACCAGAACCACATCTAGAATCTGTCTACCTTGCACAAAAGCCCCCTGTGTCTGAGAAATTGTATTCCCTAGAGAACATCTCAACCTTTTTGACATTACCTTACCCAAAAGAAGAGTGTGACCTATAGAAGTAAACTTTGAATTTCAGTGGGCATAATGATAATTTTCATTAAATACCAGTACTACATCATAGCAATTATCCATATAAAAGGCCATGTTCAAGCATAGCTGACTTACTTGATGAGAAAAAGGTTCAATATCAAATATAATTTAAAAGAAAAAGGGGTGGGGGTGGGGGGCTCAATATCATATAGAGTTTCTAGTGGGCCCAAAATGCATCACTTAATGATTGTTTTATGAATGACTTTCTTGGTCACATTCTATTCACTTTCTTATAGTCAGTGTTTTCTGATGTTAAGGCTACTGTATAATTTGATGTGTATAGTTGTAGAGGGGTTTCCATCATCTGTAGTAGTGGCAAATAAAGAACATAGATATTATACTCAGTGTTTTGTGATGTGAAGGCTACTCTATAATTTGATGTGTGTAGTAGTAAAGGGGTTTCCATAATCTGTATTAGTGGTGAGTAAAGCACATGGATAGCACGTAATGTTACAACAAGATCATATCTTATTGGGGCTAGGTAAACCTGCACATATCCATTTTGGCTGATAATCTGTACTTGCTTGTAGCCTGACCATAAAGTCCTTTATTTGAAATGATCCCATTTCATTGTCAAATGCTGGTTGACACCACAAGTATTATGTAAGTGAATGTGTTGGGGTTGCCCTATCCTGATATGTGGATTCACTCCCAGAGAGTGATGGTATTCATCTCGCGCTGTATATATCAACTTTTGCATCACCAGTGAATGGCTCATAGTTGTCTGACACTGTTGTTGCTCTCTATCCTCCATTACCTCCTCTTCTGTTCCATGCTATCTTTCTTTTGATTGTCTCTCAGTCTCTTGATCTCCTCCTTCTTGGCATATTATAATCACCGAAAGTCTCTTAGTATTTTATTAGCCGAAAGGCACTAGGGTCTGAAATCATTGTTATGCCCTCAGGGATCATCTTGTAATTGTCTTGTTTGTAAACCCTAATCTTCATTTATAAATAAGGGGTGATATCTCATCATACCCTAAGCTGATTATTCAAGCTTCACTCCTCACCTTGCACATGTCAGTGGTAATGATCTTATGACTTCGATGTTGCCCTGTTGTATGAAGGCTCATCTTTTGAGCTGCTATAGCAACTTGTGAATAATCTTGTTCATGTCTGGGATCCTAATCCACTGATGTATTCTCATCCTGCTAATAGCCCAGTTTGCCTAGAAATTCCAAAGGTGATTGGCAGCACTATCTCCATCATTATCCTTTTATCACAATTTATATCAGTCATTATCCCTGTGTACTCTTATTGTACCTTATTTTTCTCTTAATAAATTTCATTTTTGTTGCTGACAAAAAAAAAAAAAAAAAAAACAAAGAAAAGAAAAGAAAAGAAAAAAAAAATCCGTGTATCTTTTTGTAAGCTAATTATTCTCATATATCAACAACCAATTACCTGCCGTTATTAAGTGCACACAACACAACACATAACTTTACAGTAGTGTCCTTGTAGGAATTAGTTACAATATGATTCCTAATATTTTTGTTTGTCATGGCAACGACAGACAATTATGTCATTTGTCTTCTTTCATATCAAATCGTTTTAGTTTGGAAAGCAAAATCTTTCCATTAAACAGTTTCAGGGGAATACAGAGCAATCATTAGCCTCACCTCATTCTTGAAATGACTTCTTCCAGGAAAATTTTGGTTTTCCCTTTAAGATTTATGGACAGTATCTAGTATACAAGAATCCTCCATGTACCTTTGTATTGGTAGTCTGGTTCAAACCACCAACTCCTTTTTAGGTCAAGTCTAATGTGATTAGTCTATGTCCAGAGTAAGAAGGAATGATTAAATGCTTTACATGTCGCATGTGTAGGGAGCATCCATGATCTATCATGTGTGATGGTACCATTTCAATGTGTATATATTTCATAAAAAAGTACATGTATATACATTTCCCATGTTGCAGTTTTTTTCCCCCGAATTTATGTTAGCATCTATGATGCACGGACACGAAACACGATACGGACATGCAGACATGCAAAATTTTAGAAAATGGAGGACACGACACGCTGGGGACACGTTTAATAAATATAATTTTATTTATTTATTATATATCTATAATTTAAAAAAAAATCATTGGTTCCTATAAAATTACAATAATAATAAAATTATTAAACAATTTACCTAAATTTTTTAATAAAAATTGATTTTTTTCTTCAAATAAAAATAATTTGTTTTATAAATTTCAATAAAAACATGGATATAAATAAATAAAAAAAAGAAAAGAAAGGAAGGAAAAGAGACAGAAAAGGGAGAGAAACAGAAAAGGGAGGGAAACAGAAAAGGGAGGAGAGAGACAGTATAAACAAAATCAGAGAAGAGAAGAAGACAGAAGACAGAAGATGAAGAGGAGAAGAAGAACATAGAAGAAGACGAAGAGAAGAAGAAGAACATAGAAGACCAAGTCGAAACAGGTTAGGTTTTCTTCTCTCTTTCCTCTCTCTTT